CATTTTTTTTTTAAATATATATATATAAATACGTAAATACTAACCATTATAAGAATTTACTATCACGATGTACTTTTTATTTGTTATCTGGTAAATGTTTAAAGAAAAAACAGAAGAAAAAAAAGAAAATATACAAAGGAAAAGAAAAGAAGAAATGAGAAACGAGACAAAATTAGTTTTGCATTTAAAAGAGAAGGAAGAAAAAAGAAAGAAAAAAAAAAAAAAAAAAGGAAAACACGTCGACGAAAAAGAAAAATTTATTTACAAATCTTTTTATTTCAATCCACTCGTATTTCTCTATCTTCTTTTTTTTCTTTTTTATTTATTTTTTTTTTTCGCTGTGACTCACCGTCCTTCATCCATTTATCGATTAAAAAATTATCGAAAAAAAATATTTTGCACGTATCTATAAGAGTGAGTCATGCTAAACGTATGTATCTTAAATATCATTCGTCAGTTTGATAAGATACGAAAAAAATGTTCAAATAAAAAAAAATAAAAAAAATTCCTCGTTCGATCGGCGAGGAATGCGATAAATCTTTTCTTTTTTTCTTTTTTTTTTTTTTTTTTTTTCAATGTCACTCCTCCATTAGATTTCAAAGTAAATCATTCGGATATTTCGAACGGATCAAAATATATTTTTATTGTCGCGCTCTTTCAGCTCGTAAAATTCGACAAATCCAATGATATGGATTTTGTCGTCCTACGGGTGATCTCGAACAAAAGAATGATTATTGATCTTTTATAGAAATGAAGTGATCTGAAAGTTTAGGCTATTTTTTAAAGGCGCATTCACAAATCCAATGATATGGATTTTGTTATCCTCGGATGACATCGAACAAGAGAATGATTGATCTTATGTAGAAACGAAGTGATCTGAAAGTTTAGGCTATTCTTTAAAGGCGCATCTTTAAAAACGACGAAGATACTTTAAGGTACGAAAGTTTAGTAATTTATGTGTATAAATAGCTAATTAAAAAATTATATATATATATATATTTTTATTATTACCATAAAACGTTCTAAGAGAATTAAGAAAAAAAAAGAAAGAAAAGAAAAGAAAAGAAAAAGAAAAGCGTCGCTCGGATTGAGAAAAATGTGTTAACGAATTACAATTTCATTAAAAAAAAAAAAACTTCTTTTCAATTCTCAGTATTTCTGAATTATTTGAATTGCTAATAATTATTGAATCACTCTCTACATATATATATATATATATATATATATATATATATATATATATATATATATATATATTATAAAATTCTATTTAAAAAATATTTTTATATAATAATAAAAAAATTATCTATCAAGAATGAATATACTTAATTTTTCTATATTCATGTCTCATGATTATAGAAAAATTATTTCATATATATATATATATATATATATATGTATGTACGTACGTTTGAAAGGATTCGATCAAATCTATGTGTACGTTTGTTTTGTTTGCCTTGGATTGAAACTTTATCAATTGTATCGCACACAAACATACACACACACGCACACGTACAAACACTCGTATATGTGTACTCGTAGACAATAATTGGATCTAGAGAAAGTTAGCTAACACTTGTTGCTCGTAATCCCCAAAAAAGTATTAACTCTTCAAGCAACAGACTTCGAGGACATCGTTAAAAAGCAATTCCCTTTAATTAACTCTTCGAATTTCAAGTTGACTCTTAAAAGTTTCTTTTTCTATCTATCTGCCTCTCTCTCTCTCTCTCTCTCTCTCTCTCTCTCTCTCTCTCTCTCTCTCAAACACACGAGTTATTCTTAAAATTCCATTCGTTATATATTTTTTTTTAATTCGTTTAAATTATTCAAAATGTTCTAAAAGAAAGAATATTTTTTTCAAGAATATATATATATATATATATAATATTTCTATATTTGTGTGTCATGATTAAATAGAAATAATTTTTCAATGAAATATTAATGAACAATAAAATTGTGAATTTCGTCGATTAAATCAACGTCGATAAACCAAGACACGAACGATTTAATAAGCGATTAAGTTGAAAAAGGAAGAAAAAAATAAAACAAAGAAAAGGAATAAATGAAAGTTTGTAATCGAAAAAAATTTGAACGAATGAAAATTTTTTAACTCTTCAAACAAAAATGTCAATGTGTGTATGTACATATCTCAAAATGAATAATATATGACTTAAATTACTTTCGTGATTACATACACACACACACACACACACACACACACACACACACACATGCGCTTTTATATATATACATGAATTATATATATACATGATTTTATATAATACATGAATACATACATACATTCAGATATACAAATGTGTGCGTGTATCTGTTTGTATATATGTGTGTGCGTGTGTATGTGTATGTGTATGATATGTGTGTGACAAAGATATATTAAAGAGGAAGATGTCGACGTTGGAAGTGAATAAAAAGGGGAACTATTTCTCGCTACGTGAAGCTTTTTATCATGCTTCGACGAACATGATAAAATTCATCCTTATGAGAGATTTTCCTTTGATAGCTAAAAGAGGTACCTGACCCATTTTCGAGTGGTCTAACTCTACCGAGTTAAAGCCTGTTAAGTTATCTTCTTTTTCTTTCATTTTTTTCATTTTTCTATTTTTCTCTTTCCTTTACTATTTTTTATTTTATTTTTTTTTTTTTTTTTTTCCAAACCGACGATATTCCAAGTACCTGACAAATATTTTTCGTCCTTTAATATAACCGTCATCCATTAAAAGTTTAACATTGACTCTGTACAATTTTTATATGTTCTTTTTTCTTTTTGTTTCGTTTCTTTTTTTTTTTTTTTTTTTTTTTTTTTTTATGTAAAAAAGAATTTCTTTTTTTCTCTCTCTTCGTCCTTCTTCCACAGTTAAGATCATCAATGATTCTCCCGATCTATTTTTTTTTTAAATTTATTACATTCGACAATTCGATTGGATTTTCTTTTTTATTTTTCTTTTAAAAAAATTACTATTTTTTTTTTTGCTTAGAACAATTACTTCTTCGTATTTGTTGGTTTGTTTGTTCGTTATTTATTTATTTATTTATTTATTTATTTATTTATTTATTTATTTATTTATTTGTTATTTATTTTTTTTCTTTTTTTATTTCGTAAATTTGAACAAGCTTCGTTTCGATGATCTGACCACAGATATGATCTTCGATCTAATCCGATCGAATCAGATCGAATTTTATTAATAGAATTGTTTTCTCATTGTGAAATATTACAACATGATCGAAGTTTGTATTATAATGATTGATTAAGTCATATAACGATCTATGATCCAGTTTGATCTGATTCGATTATTCTATTCAAATATCTGTTATAGTCCTGATTCTAATCCAATTCAATTTGTTGTAGTCCGATCTGGTATAGACTGATATCTAGATCTAATTTAGCTTATTCTATAGTCCGTTACGATTTGATTTAATCTAATCTATAATAATACCTTGATCTGATCTGATCTGATCTGGTCTGATCTGATTTGATACAGTTCGGTATAATTCGTTTTAATCTTTAACGATTTAAGTTAATCCAATCTGATCTATTTTGTTTTTTTTTAATCTCATCTAATAAAATCTAATCTGATCTAATTTCAGTCTGAATTCTGTCTGGTTTGATAACACCTGAAGGAAAAAATAGTGTATCTGATAAGGGGAAAAAAAGAGCAAAAGAAAAAAGAAAAAGAACAATCCTATCGAAGTCGAATGTTTGAACAAACATTTTTTTTTTCTTTTTTTTTTTTTTTGTTTTTTTTTAATCAATAATCCTTCTCTTTTGTCACGATCATCTTATCAATAATAAAAGACGACTGGTTGATTAACAGACCGGATTGGTTGGGATTTGTACGAAGGATTAATTACGATTGACTCGTCAATTTGCTGTTTGATTCGGCAAATATAGGCTAGGGTGGGAAAAAAGGAAAAAGAGAAAAAAAAGAAAAAGAAAAAGAAAAAGGAAATAGAAGAAAAAAGATAATTAAAAACAAATCAATAGAGGATACTCAATGGACGAATCGCGCGTTAAAAATGAATAGAAATTAATTACGATGCTTGGACATCACACAATCGAGATCGAGGATTTATCTCTCTTATTGCTTTTTGTGATTTCTTTTTTTGTTTCTTTTTCCTTTCTTTTACATCCTCTTTCTTTCTTTCTTTTTTCTTTTTTTTTTTTTCTTTTTTTTTACTATCGATTTACGATCATTTTATTCGTTCGAAGCGCAAAGGACGGTCTTCTCCTCTTTGAAATTTTTTGTTTGTTTGTTTGTTTGTTTGTCTGTTTTTCTTTGGACATACGAACGTAAATATTTTATCACGTTTCGTTATCGTTTCCTTTTTTTTTTTTGCTCGACTAAAATTTTCATTATCTTTCTCATATACATTGAATAACAATAATAATCCAATTAAATATTAATAATGACGATAATTGAAACTTCTTCCTTATTTCTACGATTTTACAAAATCACGATTATTTATATTTTCAATTTCTTTTTTTCTTTTTTTTTTGCCAATTTCTTTGTCCAAAATTTACTATTTACATTATGTTTTGTTTGTGTGCGTGCTTTTATTTTTTTTTCTTTTGTTTTTGTTTCTTTTTTTTTTTTTTCTTTTCTTTTTTTTTTCTTTTTTTCTCTTTGGTTTTGTTCAATTCTATCCGTTCCAAACATATCTCTCAAAATAAAAACTAAATATCTTCATTTTCATCTAAACGATTTGATTATTTTTTCTCTCATTTAAATTTTCGTCCATTTAACGTAAGCCATTTGAGCGTTAAATCATAAAAATGAATTCAAAAGACTTTAACGTTTCAATAAGGAACTATCATAATAACTAAGGTAAACAGTAATGGTTTACTCCGATAGAGGTAAACATTGATTTCGTATTCCGATTGATTCTGAAATACTCAAGTGCACCAAGATACTTCAAAAGCTCTTCGCGAATTTCCGATTTAACAAGATGCATACAAATTTTTTTTTCCCTTTTTTTTTTACTCTCTAATATCACAAAATCCAATGGAACCTTTCCAAATTGAACCTGTTCTCATAGTTTTACCTTCAAATCTTTCCATATTCCCATTGCACTCTCATGAAATATATATGTAAAAAGGGGACGATAAAAATGACGAATAGAATATGAAATAAACCAATTGAATTGAAAAATAGGCAGATATATATATATGTATGTATGTATGTATGTATGTATGTATGTATGTATGTATGTATGTATGTACGTATGTATGTATGTATGTATGTATATATGTTTGTGTATGTGAAAGAGATAAAGAATTACAGAGATAAAATAAAAGAAAGAACCGTTTTGTTTATCTTTCTTTTCGTTAATTTGTCTAAATCATTCAATCATGTATTCAATAATGTATTCAAATGATTTTCAATTTTTCAAAATGATCCAAATTTTTTTTTTCATTTATTTTCAATTTAACGTAACCACCCACGTAAAATATATTCCTAATTATTCTGCTATCTATCTCTTACATATATATATATATATATATATATATATATATATATATATATGTAAAAATTGTGAGTACATTAATTAATTTTAGCCCCGTTAAACTTTAATTTCGCATTTTCAATTAAATTTCTTCAGAATGAAATTTAATATCGTTTGATCGTTCGTGATTGGTCATTCGAAATGCATTAGTAGTGCTTCTGGAATAAAGTTAACAAAAGAGGAAAAAAAGAAAAGGGAAAAGAAAAAAAAGAAAAAAACAGAAGAAGAAAAAAGGGTGAAGAGGAAAGAAAAAGAAGAATTAAATGAAAAAAAAAAAAGAAAAGAAAAAAGAAAAAAACGAAAGAAGAAAAAAGGAGGAAGAAGAATTAAATAAAAAATTGTATTAAGAAAAAAAAAATTAAATAAAAATAAAGAAAAAAAGGAAGAGAAAAGCATCGAGAAAAAGGAAGTGAAAAGGAGTACGTATATAAGTTTGTTAAATATTTCAGATGTTATATTACGAAGAACGAGAGAGAGAGAGAGAGAGAGAGAGAGAGAGAGAGAGAGAGAGAGAGAGAGAGAGAGAATGAGAGAGGGAGAGAAAGAGAGGGAGAGAGAGAGAAAGAAATAGAGGGATCATTAACAAGTTTAATAATGTTTGTTAATACGTAATTCTAATTAAACTGCGTTACTCGATCTATATGATAAAATAAATTCGTATGATATCTCAATAATCACAGCACATGATTTTCGATTTGTTTTTAACAAAGTCGTTCTTTTGGTACGTACGAATGAAGAAAATCATTCGAGAAAAATGATCAAACGAAAATAAATCGAAATATGACGATATATTCGGCCAATTTTTATATTTTTTGTCTTTTTTCATTTTACTTTTCCTTCTATATTTTGAATTATCGCCATGGATCGATTATTTTATCTTCAGTTTTTGTACGTATAGCTCATTGATTTCTAATGTTTCTTTTTTTTTTTTAATTTGATATATTATTTATGTCTCTCTCTCTCTCTCTCTCTCTCTCTCTCTCTCTCTCTCTCTCTCTCTCTTTTTTTCTTTCCTTTTTTTTCCCATGAATTTTTACTATCGTAAGTAAATGTCTTTTATCTTACCAGTATAGAAATAAAATATTAATATATAAGGATCCTGTGTGTACATGTGTGTATGTATGTGTGTATGTATGTGTGTATGTGTGTGTGCACACGTTGTATATGTATTAGATATCAAAGCTTTAATAAAGTCGGTCAATATGTGTTAGAAGAAAATAGAAACAAGCTTGCAAATACGACGATATTAGAAAAGATATAGTGTATAACTATGCATTAATAATAATTATGAAATATTATTTTACAATATATATTTCTTTCGAGGAAGTTGCGTTTGCTGGAAAGGATAAAAAATAAATAAATAAATAAATAAATAAAATAAAACAAAATAAAATAAAATTATATTAAATAAATAATAAGAAATGTAAAATGTGAAAATTTTTTCCTCTGAATTATTCGAAATACTCTCTCTCTCTCTCTTTCTCTCTCTTTCTCTCTCTCTCTCTCTCTTTCTCTCTCTTTCTCTCTCTCTCTCTCTCTCTCTTATTATTTTCTAACGTAATTAAAAATGTTTAATTTACGAGCTTACTGTATTTCATTAAGAAATATTTTTCAAAAATACAACTATACCGTTTGGTCTCATTTTCCTTGTATTACCTTAAAGAAAATAAAATAAAAGAAAAGAAAAGAAAAGAAAAAAAAAAACAAACAAACAAAAAAAATAAATAAATAAATGAAAGTATTTTCCATTCATACTTTAAAAATTTTCTATTGAAATTTCTAATACGTACGTATTTATCCGAAATATTGATAGACCAAGAATATAAGTAGGAATGAAAGAACAAAACGATTTGATAAATATACGTAGATAACTCTCTCTCTCTCTCCCACTCTCTCTCTCTCTCTCTCATTCTCTCTCATTCTCTCTCTTTCTCTCTCTCTTTCTTTAGAAGTAAATTTTCTCAATGAAATTTCCGATGACGTAATATAATATTTTATCGAAGAAAGAACATGTGACATTCTGAATTCCCATGTGCTCCCTTGGACCTAAGAAAAATTGAGAAATATTTCGGATATATTTGTTATTTAATATACGAAAGATCTTTTTTTTTATTAAAAAAAGAAAATTATATCAAGAGATTGGAAACAAAATTGAAAAACAAAAAAGCGAAAATATATTATTAAAAAATATATATTTACATAATTCGTATAAAAATAAGTATGAAAAATTCAATTATATGTAATTATATTAATTTTTTTAATCAAAATTATATTATATATATATATATAATGTAATTACATTTATATATATATATATATATATATATATATTTATAATTACAAAATTATATAGGAATTTTCTTTCGAAAATGTGATATATTTTAAGAAAGAAAGAAAAAAAAAATAGAAAGAAAAAAGGAAATTATTCAAAAAAAATTGTTATCCGATTTCATTCTGAGAAATATTACGACATTCATGATTTTTTAGTAATTCTTTCTTTTTTTTTCGATTAAATAACAACCCACGTTTGTTTTTAATATATGAAATATACTACGTAAAAAAAAAAAAAGGAATTGAAACGTAAGAAAAAAAATTAAACAAGTAACTTTTATCCAACTTCAATCAAGATGCATGTATATATATATATATATATATATATATATATATATATATATATATATATATATATATGTATATACATATACAGGGTGTTCAAGAATTCATTTCCTTTTTTTTTTTCACAAAACGACGCCATCATATTCTACGAGTAATATTATTTACTCTTATGAGTAAAGTGTCGATACGAACGTGGACCTCGTAAATGGGACTTCATTAAAAAATTACATTAATTATTTTTTCGTATTAATTTTTCAATATTATTTCTGTATTTTTATTATAACTATGTTAATTTTTAACAAAAGGATTTTTATTGTCTACGTTCGTACGTTACTTATCTCTTATTTTAACTTTTTAACACGGCAGATCTACAACGATATCGTTTTGTGGAAAAAAATACTTGAAACACCCTGTATATATATATATATATATATATATATATATATACATTTTTATGTGTAAATGAATAAATAAATAAATTGAATGTAAAAAACTAAGCGAATCTGTAACTAACTCAATGATATATCGAATCGATGAAATTCGAATTTAATTGGAAGATTTGATCGTATCCCTTACGTATTTATCTTCGCATATCACGTATTTTATAATTATTTATTGAAAACTTTGTTCTATTGGTATGTTTGCATTGTCAACAATGCGACAAATTTCAATGGCATCTCCGAGAAATTTCAAAAGCTTCTCCAGTTCTCCTCTCTCTCTCTCTCTCTCTCTCTCTCTCTCTCTCTCACTCTCTCTCTCTCTTTCTCTCTCTCTTTCTCTCTCTCTCTTTCTCTGTATATTATGTTGGAAACTATGAAAGGGACGTTTCTGTTTAGTTATTTATTTTCATTCAACGGCCGTTTCATAGTTTCCAACCTAATATATATATACATATGAATTCTATTCAAGTACAAAAGAAAAGAAATAAAAATTTAATGCTTTCTATTCGACATATTATAATATCTATATATTATATATTATATATGACATATGTATAAATATATACACAAATATATATAATATCTTATAGTCATTATATAATATATCGAATATTATAATATATATATATATATATATATATATATATATATGTATAAAATGGAATGTTTTCTATATTCGACATATTTTGTGTGTGTGTGTGTGTGTGTGTGTCAAATATAAAAAAAATTCCACTGTAAAACTCTATCAATTTTTTACTTTATCAAAATTTATATCTACGTACACACATATATATATGTATACATATACATATATATATATATATTAGAAAAAAGATTAACATATTTATTACTAACGATTCGTCTCACGTAACTTTTTTATAACCATAATCGATATCTATTTCACGATATTTCATTTAAAACCGTACTCGTTAATCCAAAACGTGGATTGATTAAGAAGGAAGAAAAAAAAAAAAAGAACTAGTAAAAAAGAAAAATAAAACGAAGTAAAAAAAAAAAATATGAAAAAAGAAAAAAAAAAGAATGGAATTTTAATAGATTTACGAGATAATAGGAGATTATTCACAAGGGAAGGATAACGTCTGTTTTGCTTATCGAAAAAAGAGAAAAAAAAAAAAAGAAAAAATAAATAAATAAATAAATAAATAAATAAGAAAGTAAATGTCATGTACGTTATCTAATAAAGAAATAATTAAGAAAGTAGGAGGAACGATAAGAGCCCATCTTTAAAATAACCTTCTTATCGATCTCGACGTATTTCTAGCATGCCATAGTAAAACGTTGATATATTTTGTTGACATTTTAACTAGAAAAATTACTATTCGAACGGTACTATTGATATCTTTTGTCTTTCTCATTTCCCTTTTTTTGATTCGTCTCTTCTTTGTTTCTCTCTCTTTTTCTTTTTTTTTTTTTCTTTTTATTCTTTTTTCCTTCTTAACGAAAAAAATTACTCGAACTCGAATTGTTTATCTATGGGAATTAATAATATTATTTTCTTTCAGAGAACAAATTTTCGAACATTTTATAACATAAT